CACTAATCTTAGCCGGACAAATGCAGAAGGCTGTCATTCTTGACTCACTGCGCTTGCTCTGGACACATTATTCTCGGACCCAATGAGAGTTCTCATGTCTGCTCTTTCACTTGACCAGAAAAAAGAAATAGGAGCTTACATATCAGCCAGTTGATGGGTCTCAAAATGCTTGAGTTCCTAAGAAGATGCTCTAAGACTTCATTGATATCAAATGCCTGTATAGCTCTCTGGTAAGAACTCATCTTGAATACGTATCCTCCGTATGGAACCCATCATAGGCAAGCCACATCCATATGTTAGCCTTTCAGCCTCTCCTAGATTCACTAGTAATACAGTTACATTTTCTCAACCAGACTGCAGAACTAATCATTATCTTCATTCCTTTGTACCACGGACTACAAAAGTGACAAATAAAACGGACTTTGATTTCTTTACTTCTGCATCTGACTTTTAGATGCAGCTGAATTCGAGGTGGAATATGTAGTTTCTACGAACACTTTTCTGATGAAACAACCAATTCAGAGATATATTTTCACATATCAATATTTTCGATTTTATTGGGTTGTATTGGGCCAAAGGATAGTATTATAATAATTGAAAAAAAATATTGCAATCTCGGTTTTCCCCTTGTCAAAGGCAGTTTAGGTTACATAAGGTTCGTTCCAACCTTGAGTCACAAACAGATTTCCAACTGTTTGTAAATCGTTGTTAACGCGCATGTCTGGTAAATATTGGTTTCTGATTAATTTGAAATTTCTGATTGGAACAGCTGATAGTTCAACTGAAGTTTGGCATGGAATTTCAACATAACCTTGACTGTCAGAAACTGTTTCTGACGCTGGTTGGAACGAACCTATAAAAATCGTTATTGAAAATTGTTTATTCAAAGGTTTATTGAATGTAATTTCTATTTCATTACATGAGGTAATCTGTTGTAAAATTTATAGATATTGAGAGGACAATTGTAAAGGGACTGTTACAGGTAGAACTGAAATACTGCTTCAACAAAGCAGGGATCAGATCAGAATAATTACAGGACAGCTCACTGGATATTGTACATTTAGAATTCCCAAGAATAAAATACCCATTCATTATTTATTCATTGACAGGTGACTCCCAACTAGTATACAAGATTCTACAAATGTCAGCTCAATAACAATACTCCATTATAATCAAATTTACTTGCGAATTTACACAGGTACAATAAATAGTGAGTGAAGGTGAAGTACAAATAAATAATTTTATTACAATAATTTAAAATAAAAGTCGATCCAAATCTAAGATAAAAAAATCATGGTAAACTTGCAGATTACAAATCAAAAGGCTATCGCGGATATAGTCTACAGAATCAGTATTTTTTGTTGGGTTCAACGACCGTCGTAAAGCGAAATTTCTTTCTAATGTTTCATTAGCAGGCACGACAGGCCTCTTGAAAGGTGCTTCCATCTCTGATGTTGAAAGCAGACTGCCCGCTTTCCTCAAAAAGAAATATACGTGATGAAATATCTACAGTACACTGAGAACAAGAAGACATTACGAGATTTTTCCATGCCATCCTTTTCAATTTGCTGTATTTTCAACTCTGAGTCTGTAAATAATTATAGACGAGGAAATTCTACAATCACATTCGAAGGCTGAGTTTTACAATATTATAAAATCATACAGAGAATAATATGTTTGATTAATGAATTGTTTATTTTGTAATAATTCATGATCACTTTAATGAAATTTCTCTAATTATCATTAGTTGATTTTATTTATATGACCAGTTTGGGGTTTAACCCCATTACACTTGATAATCCAAACCAAAAATTGGTCCAATTTCATTGTAAATACGATTCATTTTATTTTATTTATTGAGTAATATACAGAACAAGCAGCTCCAATAATCGATTACTATATCAAAAACTAATTAAATAAGCATTCTCAATATAGTACAATGACTCCAATTACTCCAAATTACCTGAATCAAAATCAAATTCAAAGATACATTCAGTTGATGGAAAGCATCATATGCGATAATATAAAGACCCCTCTGAATCAGGTTATAATCGATGAGCAACATGGTTTTTGCCAGGGCAAATCGACCAATACTAATTTGTTGCTCTACTCTCAGTATATCTTAAATGCTTTGGAGAAAAAACAGCAAGTGGATGTGCAGATTTTTCTAAAATGTTTTTACAAATAAATTTATATTCCTCAAACATTTTGCAAGAGAACACATATTGTATTGTATAGTTCTGTGAACAATTACAGGACAGTCAAGCGGCATTGAAAGCTCTTGGCTCCTACCGAGCAATGTCTAAATTGGTAGCAAATTGTCAAAAACGACTCTTCTTCATAGGAAAACTTAACAGATTGTCTCTGGTCTGGATTCCTAGCCATACTGGCCTGGAAGTCAATGAGGCTGCTGGCTCTTTTGCAAAGGAGGTTGCTGCAAGCAGCTTCATCGGATCAGAACCTGTCATTTATATTGAACATCTGTATGGCAAGAAGATTTATGGACTTCTGGCAGAATCTTCCAGGATTGGCACATTCCAAGGCGTTTATGCACCATTCGAAGCTTGATACCAAACTGATGTTGGAATACAGTAGGGATGAACTACGATGTCTAACAGACCTTCTTACAGGTCACTGGCATTTGAATCATCATATGCAGAGACTCGCGACTGTCGGAAGACAGTGTGTGTCGCCTCTGTTTGGAAAATAATGGAACTGAACAGCACATATTTTGTGCCTACCCCGCTGGGGACCGAATTAGGTTTTTAGAGTTCGGCAGAGCCGTACCATCTGACCTGAAAGACCACTCACTATACAAACTAATCGGCTTCGTTAAGAAGCTGGGTTTATTTGGTCGAGTGTGAATAGGTGTGAGCCACAATAAACCCTTGCGTGTTACTGTGGAGGGTCAAATAGACCCACTCATTTTGGACCTAACCTAACCTGTGATAACTAATTTTGGAGCTGTTTCAATCTCCTGTTGGTTGAAAAGTTACAAATCATTATTTTTCCTAGTCTCCAATTTATTCAACAATAACACCGCGACCGGTTATCCAAATTCAAAACAGTGAAGGTCGTTGTATAGATAATCGAAATATCTTTCAAGTGCAGGGACACAAGACCCACTTTCTATTAAAAAAAAGTTGAAAGCGCCTTTTCTCCGGCGAATGATATCACACCATTTGCTAGTTTTCCAAGAAGTAATAAAAATGATTCCTATATCATATGCTCAAGTATAGGTGAAAACACCTCACCCTTGCCTCTCATGCGAACATACGATTATGTAGGTACTTGTAGCAGATACATACACTGATAGACCGGTTTCGGAACACTAGCTCCTCTTCAGTTTCCGGAGGGTCACTTCAGACGGAGTGAACCGTCTGAATACCCCGAACAAACAAAATTAATTCGAACTAGTCATAAGGTCTATCTGCAGTTGATTCGGTAGGATGGCCACTGGGCCACCTGCATACAACTTCACAAACATATACTCTGGGGTGGGAGTCGGAATGTTAAACATATTCCGGAGAGGTGCATATAATATGCTCAAGTTCAGGTGAAAACGCCTCTCCCAAGGGAACAACTCCAAAAAACACATACTCCTACCCCAGAGTATGAGTTTGTGGAGTTGTTTCTGGACTTTATCTACAGTTGGTACATCCTACTGAATCAACTGCAGATATAGCTTCAGACTACTTGGAATTAATTCTGCTTGTTCGAGATATTGAAATGTTAGTCTGGTGGCTTGAGTAATATGTCATGTAACAATAACTCACGGTCAAAATGAATTTGAGACACGAATTAGCTTCACACGATGCTAAATGGGGATTTACTTGAGCGTTGTGCACACAAGATATTAATAAAGAAAAAAGGTTATATGAATTTACCTCTTCACTTGTGGAAGAAACCTCCATTGGCTTTAAAAGGGGCCATTCAAGTATAACATAAGCACTATAGAGGGCGGGGGGTCTTTGTTTTGCTCATTTTTAATGACAGGGGGGCAGGGAGGTCTAAATAGTGATTACGTCAGCAGTATTCATTTATTTTTATACACATATGGCAACCCATGCATTGTCTTTGTTTGAAAAATGAAAAATTCATATAACAACGTTCACGTAAGCATGGGAGGGGGTAAGAGCATTGCTTACTTTTGCTGATAGTGGGGGTGGGTGGTAAATGATTGTTATAAATATGCTCACGTGATACTTGAACGGCTCCAAAATAAACAAAGGTAATTACAAGGAAATTCTCGATAGTTTCATAAATACGTCTATTGTTTGATGAGACCCACGACGTGTCGAAACAGCGCTGTCTGGTGTAGAGTCATCAGTTTGGGCTCTGGTTTTGAAATAATTGCCTTTCAGCGAAAGACAGATCGACGAATCTCATCGGCAGTTGATGTCAAAGTTTATATTTGCAACTGACTGCCGTGATGAGCCTTGTTCATCTTTTATTTTCGAGGATTGAGTTCTCTGTTGATCCCATAGATAGCCCCGTCATAAGACGTCATCGCCCTCACTAAGAGTTACGCCAAAACTTTCCTGAATTTACAGGTATAATATAAATCCACCAACTGATATCAAAGTAAGACCCTATTGAAATTTTTTGTCAAGTTGTAATTGTAGGGAAACAGTGCGTTTTATTATCATGTATGGATATATTCGTTTTTATTGAATGGGTTTTTTTGCTAACCACCTATTACATTTTAACATACGTTTCCTAGCATAGGAATTACCCACATAGAGTCATTGCAATTATCCTTTCAAAATGTTTATAAAGCAGATCAACTAGCTCGATAAGTTTCTATAAACATTTACATTTCAATTGGGACCCTATATTTTTTATTGGATACATGCTCCCATGGAATGTCCACTTTTTATCATGACAAATAATCCATGGTTCTATACTTTTTTTACATGTGCTTATATACTTATAAAAAATTCAAGTGGCGGAAGATTTTGTCATATTCAAATACGATTAATTGCTGATTAGATACTTACCATTTTCCAATATATTTATAAACCACTTTGTTTCGAAATAATTCCTTCCAAGACACTTGAGTTTTTCTCATAACAAATCATGAAAGTTGTTCTTTAAATCTTCAAAATATCCAAGGCACAAACATTAAAACACATGACATAAAATAAAAATAATCTAAATTGTAAACAATAAAAAACAAAACCACAGATAACGTGCCAAAACTGCCATTTAAAATTTGTGAAACTCAATCTCTCCTCTTCTCTTATTTTTTTGTTGTTTGGCCTTATCTTTATTGAAGTTTGCCAAATGACTCGTTTAAGAAGTATTCGAAAGGGCCACGAAGTGGGAGACATCTAATTCAATAATTCTGACGTCAAACTCAGGAAGAATATTATTTATTTCTATGAAGATAATTATTCACAAATACTCAAATATTCGTTGTTACATTTATTTATTGTAATATTCATTTGAACAAAATTAAAGACACCTCTTTATGATAAATTCAAAAGGTATTGTTCAGGGCGAAAGTGAAATTCTGTTCATTCACAACTCTCCCCAAGATTCGAAACTAGACTAGGAAATAAATGAAAAACTATACCCAGAATCGATACACCAATCAGTACAATTTATGTCCGTCTGTATTAGTGAGCACTTCGATGAAAACTATTTTACTCTGTCGGATTTTAACCGATTGGTTAGCGTGAATGGTTAGATCTACTCATCCAACGAATTGTTATGTAAACGGTGGTTCAATCTCAACTGTGGAATTTCCGATTTTTATCTCAACTAGACATTTGACTTTAGCGACCTTCACTTTCTAAGCGGTTCACGGGACGAATTGCCAGTTGTCCCATTTAATTCTTAAATCTATCAACATTCATCGAAATTTCAAAGGGACATATTTCATTACTCATTTTAGCTACATTTATGGCTAGGTAACACAATAAGACTTCTTTATCAGAATTAAAATATCTATAATATTCTGCCGTTCATCAGATTTGTTAGACAAAATGAAAATTCTGCCCAAATAATCAATATACTCATTGAATTCTTCCGTGTGATTTCATATGCTTCTTTAGGTATATAGTGATACATGATACTTTTGTGTACTTGCAAAGACCCTCTCTTATATATCAAATACAAATCTTTATTTTATTTAAAATAACGACCAAGAGTTATATCCAGCCGATTTATAAACAGCAGTTTTTAAAGATAGGAAGCCTTTGAGTGTTACGAGTGAAAGTGGCAACCGTGCTTCATTTTACAAATGTTTTGTTTTGGTTTACAAGAGATACAGAAGAATCTGTAAAAACGTTTTGGAATATGATTCTAATTTAAATCATTCGTGAAATAATTCGATCTAACACCATGCAATCTCATGCAGATTTACCTCCACCCTATACGGAGCAACCACTCCCAGGTATATTAAATTTATTTTTGTTGATGAACTCATATTCAGTCACCATTTTCCAAGAAAATACAAACATGAAGTAATTCAAATACAGAAAAAAACCTTTTTTGTTTTCTAATTTACGATTAATATCCAAAGAACGGGAAATTTTTGCAGATAAGAAAACATTTGAGAACATTATTGAAATGTGCAGATCATTCTCTGACGTTTATTTCAGGAAATCATAAGCAGTCTGATCATTATATTGAGTGGTAAGATACACACACGAGCATACACTTTATCTTATTTACCCTCAGATACAAACCAAGAGAATGGGTCCATTTGAACCTATTCTCCCTTCCGGTAAACATTCTGAAAGAAAACAATGCATGGGATATGCTACACAGTACAAGGAATATTACCTTAGAGAATATAGTGATTTACGTTACTTTTTCATTCGGTGTGTTGTGTATTACTAATATTATTATTATCAGATATGCGAGGTGAGAAAGAAAAGTAAATTATTTTTGTCTTGCTCTTCCTAGTCATGTACAGTATGCCAGACAAAGTTGACACTGTAGGATTTTAAGAAAATGTGATGATTACATTCCTAACTATTCCTTCTGACTTTTCAGGGTCAGTTTCACCAGTGTTGTGTTTGTAGTCTAGTAACTACAGCGAAAATCACTGTGAGACTAGGTGTCTATTGGTGCATATATTTTTCTATAAACAGATATATAAATAATGTAGAGGTTTTTCTTCAACCAGATCGATTTTTTGCCTTGAATGTTCATTTGCAATCCATTTGAGATGAAAGTTATTACCAGGAAGAACAAGAGAGAATGAGGCTTTGTTAGAATAGGAACCTAATAAGTAGTGATGTGAAGTTGTCTATTGTGAATCAGATGTTGAGAAGTGGCATCAGAATAAAATGGACCTAGAAAGAAAACATTGATCCCAAAATATTCAAATACAGTCCTGCTTTGATCAATAACTGTAATTGGAGTTTAGAACTAGGACATAGTAATAAAGAAAATCTGATTTGTTATATTCTGAATTTCATATTTTTTTGTTACTGAAAGTTTATATTCCCAAATTCAAATAATATTCATTTTGATATTTGAGCTTTAAAAATTAGCATTTCACTCTATTACTCCGCTAAAAGATACATAATTGTTCGAATAGCAAGAAGTATACTTTTAAGAGAGATTCGTTTTTGTGGAAGAAAGGTTTTTATCTTCTATTTTCCCATCTCACAGGACCCCCTACTTCACAGGGGCCCCAAATGGCCGAAAAAGTTTATTTTTGAATCTGAGTGAGCACTTGTATTTTTAATTAAAATTTACTGTTTGATTTGAAATGTTATTCATTCAACAGAGATACTTGTTGAACGATATTTATCATTTACATATTATAGTTTTGTAATTTTACAAGTGTGAAAAAATGTTGATTCAACTAATAGAAAAATCTCCCACTCCCCACATTTCCGGCATGGTGGTGTAAGCAGATGGTGTAGTATGCTTCCATCTACGAGCTGCACATCCTCTCCGTAGTCCCCGCATCGTCCTCTTTTGAGATGGACCATTGCACATTTGTCTACCCCGAATTTCATACCAATAGCATGTGTGTACTCTTCCACCACCCTCAAGTACTGATGGAGATCCTTTTCTCCAGAGGCATAAAGTTTAAGATCATCCATATAAAACAGATGGGTGACCTTGTGTCTCCGGTTTCCGGGGGTGCCACAGTTACACCCTCGAGTATTTCTGCGCCCAACGGATAATGGCAATAGTGAGATACATTATTATTATTATTATTTATCATCTGCATATAATAAAGACACCATATTAACATTACTACAAATGTGTGAACCTATTTTAGGTGTTCATCAACATTACAGCTACTATCAACCCACAGCTCCACCTCTCAACATGCACCAAACACCATCGTACGGAGCCACAACCCATACCACTACTATCATAGTTCCAGAACCAGAAGTTATTATAATCGGGGCCTGTCCTGCTTGTCGCATTGGGGTACTGGAAGACGATTACACAGGCTGTGGGCTTCTGTGCGCCATTTTATTTTTCCCCTTAGGAGTACTCTGTTGTCTATTGATGAAAGAAAAGAAGTGCTCAAATTGTGGTGCTACGTTTGGCTGAGCAGGATATAGTGGGTTTTTAAAACGTGAATGGTTTTTCAATTGTTCATTGATTGTTTTATATATTTGAATTTTATATATGTTATTGTGAAGTTATTATTATTACATCTCTTTATTCAGAAATGTAAATATATCTAGAAATAGTAGTTTTAAATATACACTCATAGTTTTAAAGTGATTTCCAAATAAGGAACATGTTTTTCTGCCAAATTCCTATCATGAGGATTCATATTGACATATATGCTATTCCTGGTGGTTGATTTCATGAGATGAAATCTAAGTTGGGTTTATAGACCAAGTAACACAAATTCAGACCTCATTGTAACGTCTAATTTGGTAGCAAATTGACAAAAACGACTCTCCTCGATAGGAAGACTTAACAGATTGTCACTGGCCTGGAAGGCAATGAAGCTGCTGACTCCCTTGCAAAGGAGGATGCTGCAAGCAGGTTTATCGGACCAGAACCTGTTATTGGAATCGCTTTAGGCTTTGCCAAACAAATATTGAACATCTGTATGGCAAGAAGATTTATGGGCGCAGAATCTTCCAGGATTGGCTCACTCCAAGGCGTTCATTCACCCTTCGAAGCTTGATACCAAACAGTTATTGGACTACAGTAGGGATGAACTACGATGTCTAAGAGGCCTTCTTACAGGTCACTGTCATTTGAATCATCATATGCAGAGACTCTGAGTGTCGGAAGATAGTGTGTGTCGCCTCTGTTAGGAGAATGATGAAACAGCAGAGCATATACTTTGTGCCTGCCCCGCTGGGGACCGAATCAGGTTTTTAGAGTTCGGCAGAGTCGTACTCTTACCATCTGACCTGAAAGACCACTCACCATACAAACTGATTAAGTTCGTTAAGAAGCTGGGTTTATTTGGTTGAGTGTGAATAGGTGTAAGCCACAATAAACCCTTGCGGGTTGCGGTGGAGGGTCGAATAGACCCACTCACTTTAGACCTAAGAGATGGTTATGTTTCATTTCTTGGGGAACTTTTCTTATGCGTACTCCAATAATGATCTAACTAATGAACAATATAATAACTTGAGAGTGTTCAAACTGAATTCCTTACATGATCTATTGATGAAGCCCAACATGAGATTTGAAGTTCAATTCACGATCAAACATAATTCCTAAGTCCTTTATCACTGATTTCCTATTAATTGGTATATTACTGATACTGTAGTTATGAAGAACAGGGTGAATAATTCTAGAAAATGTTTGGAAGAAACATTTGGATACATTCAAATTCATGTGATTCATAACACACCAGACATAAAATTGTGACAAATCTTCTTGTAAGAGTGAGACATCGTTTTGAATATTTTTACCTCATCAGCGAAAATCAGTACCTCACTATGTTTTATAATTGTAGTTAGGTCATTAATATATAGGTTAAATAGCAAACGTCCACAGTGGGAACCCTGAGGAACACCCGAAGGAACAGGAATTGTGAATGATACACAGCCTCCTATTTTTACTATATGGCTTCTACCAGATAAGAAACTCTGGATCCACTGCAAGATTGGTTCATAAAAACCTTACGAAGACAGTTTGGCGATAAGTAAATCTTGGTTGACCCTATAAAATGCTTTAGAAAAATCTGTATAGATAGAGTCCACCTGTAATTTTTTCTCCAAAGCACCTAATATGTAATTTTCATGAACAAGCAGGTTTGTCACAGTTGA